TCCCACCTCAGGCCTAGAGCCTGTGGCTACAGCCACACCAGAGCCCCAGCAGGCTGAAGAGAGTGTCACCATACTCCAGGACTCCCCTGAGACAAAATTTCCACCCCTGCAAGATGCAGATCCCACCTCAAGCCTAGAGCTCGAGGCCGCAGCCACACCAGGGCCTCAGCAGGCTGAAGAGAATGTCACCATACCCCAAGACTCCCCTGAGGCAGCACTTCCACCTGGGCAAGATGCAGATCCCACCTCAGGTCTGGAGCTTATGGCTGGGGCCAAACCAGAGCCCCAACAGGCTGAAGAGAGTATCACCATACCACAGAGCTCCCCTGAGAGAGCACTTCCACCCTTGCAAGATGCAGGACTCACCTTAGCCTCGGAGCCCATGGCTGGAGACACCCATGGGGCCCCAGGGAATAAGCTCATGGCTTCTGTGACCCAGCAGGAATTAGGTCTGGCCTTAGAACTAAGGCCAGAGCCTGGGGAGCATGATGCAGGCCCTGATGGAGACCCAGAGCCTTCAGCCTTGAACCAGACCCAAAAGGATGGCCCAGAACCAACTGCAAAGACTGGAACTCCTTGGGCCCCAAGGGAAGAGGCAGGTCCCACCTTAGGCATGGAGGCCCCTGGTCCCCCTGAACCTGCCTCTGGCACTGGTAAAGAAGTAGCTGTGGACCTTTCGGCACCTGAGGGGGAAATATGTCTTGAAGCCTGTGTGTACGTGGGTGATGGGGCCAAGACCTATTCGCCTCCAAAGGAGGCCCTGGGGGCTAAGAGCAAGAGGGGTGTAGGCCCCAAGCCACCAGCACAGGAAGGTGGGCCTGCATCAGTGCCCCAAGGTGTGAGAGAGGCTCCCAAGGCATGTCCTACTGCCTGCCCGGAGGTCACACAGGCACAGACCCTGAGCCCAGCCAAGAAAGGAAGGGGTCTGAGCAGCAAGGCCACCCTGGAACCCAGACTTCCCTTAGCTGTGGCCAAAGAGGCCAGGCTAAGTTCAGGCCCAAAGTCCCCAGCAAAGGCTGCATCCAGGCTGGACAGGGACTTCCCTAAAGAGCTTACCCCTTCTGTATCACCTTCCCAGTGGTTGGAGCCTTCGCTAGGCCTAGGCAATGGAAAGCAGCCCCAGAGAGCACCTGGTATGCTCAAATCCTCCCCACTACAACTCCCAGAAAACCCTGCCAGGGGCCGGCCTAGTACACCTCAAAACAGGCTCTCAGACCCTGACCCCTCTGATCCTGGTGTTCTTGCTGGGGAAGCCCCACTGGCCCTGGGACCCCCTAACTCTCGCTTGTGCCAGAACCTGCAGGAAGACTCTGTGGAGGGTGAGGAGCCACCAACCTCTCGGGGCCTTCACGTGTCTCGGGCAGTAGCCCAGGGGGCCACTGCTGCTGCTGCTGCCTCAGGAAACACCCAGCCTCTGGGGACAGGGCAGCAGATCAGCCTCTCCCGCCACCACCCACTCCTCATCCCCAAGGCGGCCCCCACGGATGCCAAAGACCTGGCCAAAGACCCGGCCTCTCAGATCTTGCCACCCAGCCAAGTGCCTCCTCCCTCTGGGACCCAGAGCCCATCGAGCCCTCAAGGACTCCCAGCCCTAGAACAGCAAGAGGACGAGGACAGCCTGGAAGAAGGTGAGGGGGAATGTAGGGGTGGGAGCCCCAGGCTTGGGCAGTTAGTCCTCTCCAGGGTAAGCACTGCCGTCCTAGGCTAGAGGACCTCTGCAGTGGTGTGATGATATGTCCAGACCCCCAGCTCCAATTCATGATGAAGTAGGGCCAGGGGCCCATCTAGGGGAGTCATTCTCACACCTCTCTTCCCTTCCCCAGACTCACCTCGGGCCCTGGGCTCAGGCCAGCACTCGGATAGTCACGGGGAGTCGTCAGCAGAGTTGGACGAGCAGGACATCTCAGCGCCTCAGATGGTGCAGTGCCCATCCCAGGTGCCCAGTCTGGGGGAGAGGTTGGCCCTTACGTGGGCCCTACACTCCCACCCACAGGTGCTCAGCCCTCACCTTTCCACAGGCCCCAACAGGCAGCAGTGAGGAGACCATCGCCAAAGCCAAGCAGAGTCGCAGTGAAAAGAAGGCTCGAAAAGTAGGCTGGGAGCTCCCCTTCTGACCCCAGTACTAGCACCATCTGCACAGGGGGACATCTTTACCAAGATGGGTCATACCCCATAACTAATGAAATAGTATCCATAGGGAAGACCTGTGGGTCAAATCTAATAACCCATACACCTTCCCCTAAACAGTTTGGGCTGGAATGGCATGGTGGTCATATGGATGAAGGTCAGCCTCCTCCAGAGGCTAGTACACACAGGGAAGGACTGGTCACTCAGGGTCATGGGGAAGTTGGGGTGAGGTGTTTGCCTGCCAGGCACTGTGCTACCTGCCTTTTCTGGTTGGGCCTATAGCAGGTCTGAACCATCTCTACCCTCTGCCTCAGGCAATGTCGAAACTGGGCTTGCGGCAGATTCAGGGAGTCACCAGGATCACTATCCAGAAGTCCAAGAACATCCTCTTTGTCATCGCCAAGCCTGATGTCTTCAAGAGCCCCGCCTCAGACACCTATGTGGTCTTTGGCGAGGCCAAGGTTTGTCCTAGCCGTGGCTGTGGCAGTGGTGATGACCAGGGAAACAGGGATGAGGAAGATAGACAGGGAGTGTGCAGGCCCTACTGACACAGCTGTTCCATGCTACAGATTGAGGACCTATCCCAGCAAGTGCACAAAGCTGCAGCAGAGAAGTTCAAGGTGCCCTCGGAGTCCTCAGCCCTGGTCCCTGAGTCGGCACCGGGACCCCGGGTGAGGCCAGAGTGTGAGGAAGAGGAAGAAGAGGAGGACGAGGAGGAGGTGAGGCTAAAGGGCTCCAAGACTCTGTGTGGAGGGCTTCTGCCTAAGGCCTTGTGTCAGGAGAGCCCTGGCCCAGAGGCCTCAAGCAGCTTATCATCTCCCTACTTCACCCCACCAGGTGGACGAGGCAGGCTTAGAGCTGCGTGACATTGAGCTGGTGATGGCCCAGGCCAATGTGTCCAGGGCCAAGGCTGTGCGGGCCCTAAGGGACAACCACAGTGACATCGTCAATGCCATCATGGTGAGTAAGCATTGGCCCCACCCCCACCTCCCAGCTGTCCCTGGAGGCCTCGGGTGAGGTCCTGATTTGGCTCTACATCATGACCCTCTCCTTCCACATTTTTCCACAGGAACTGACAATGTAGCTGCTGACCAGAAGCTGGGTACATCCTGCCCCATCCCCCAGCTCTGCTGTCCAATAAATTGGTGTCCCATCATCACCCTCTGGTGTCCCCTCAATACCCTCTGGCAACTTCTCAATATCCTCTGAAGTCCCCACATTGCCCTGCCATCTCATCATCCTTTGATGTCACCTCACCACCATGCCACCTCACTGTCCTTTAGTGTCCTCAGAAGACCCTCTGGTGTCCTATCATTATGGAATCCTCTCAGTGCCCCTACTGCCCTCTGAAATCCTCTCAAACCCTGGCATCACCTAACTGCCATCTGGGACCTCCTCAGTGTTCTCTGGTGTAGTCTCAATACCCTCTGGCATTCCATCAATACCCTCTGGTAACCCCCAATGCTCTCTGGCATCACCTAAATGTCCCTCAGCATCCTTTCATCACTCTCATGTCCCCTCACTGTCCTTTGGCATTCCCTCAGATCCAGCTAGGGGTAAGAGTGGCCATCTGCTCCACATTCTCCATTCTCTGCTAAGAGATCAGTGACTCAGTCAGTGTTGGCCATTTCTGGAATGTGTGCCCTGGAGAGGCAAGCATGTGGTTCTTGTGACTCCACATCAAAGACTCTGCAAGGCCATGCTCTATGTGTACATGGGGGACACTGACACTCACTGGGGCACAGGGTGGGCTGTGGAAGGCAGATAGGAGCTAGAGGACAAAGTCTGCGTTTTCAGCCTCCCCTCATTATTCCAGAGCAGGATTATTTGCATTCAAAGCTAGAGACAGCTCCAATACCCTCTGGTTTTCCCAGCCTGGACTGTGGTCCCATGACCAGCTCTGGAACAGCCATGGTAGAGGGAAAATTCTCCCTATAAAACACTATCCAGGGTTGTTCTCTCCTGAAGAGACAATACCACATGGACCTGTCTGCCTTACTCCGGAAGGCACTTATAAGACCCTCCAGACCCTCTGGCTAGGCCTGGACACAAGTGGGATATCCATGGAGCTCCATTTATGGATACCTCAGAGGCCTGATATGCAACCCTTCTGCCCAGCAGGGCACACCACTCCCTACAGTGGGCAGTGGGGAAATATCACACCTCCTCATCCCAGGAACTTTCTGGATGTGTCCTGAGGGTTCTCAGCAGAATCAAGGCTTTGATGGAGGGAGAGACCCAGAACAACCTGACTTCACGTCACCTCTCTCCCCTCCCTGGATTCTAAGGAAGGTTTGAAGTGGCGTAAAGGGCAGAGGTCAGACTAATGCCAATACAAACTGGGAGAAGATCACACTGGGGATGGACATGATGAACATGGAGAGGGTAGGTGCGTAAAGGGCCCGTGATAGCTTATCTGAAGCTCCCAGCACTCCCAGATAGCACTTCTGATCAGCAAGGTGCCAGGGCAAGCAGCCAGAGAAGTCAGTTCCTTGAGGAATCTATGCGAGTGATGAAAAGATCAAAGCACCTTTGCTGATCATACAATGCACATTGCTTCTGCTGCCCATGGTCACTGCCCCTGACACCCATAAGAGAACCCAGTAGATCTTCTGGCCTCACACCCACAAAGCAAAACCCAAATCACAAGTGCCTGCTGCCTCCACTGCCCCAGCCCTGACACCACTGTGCCCATCTCTGGGTATTATGGGCAGACGTGGGCAAAGGGACAGAGGCCAGAATGGACCCCCCTCCTAGCAACATGGTTTTCACCCAACTGGATCAGAAACATGTTTGGTAACCAGAGATTAAATTATTCACATTGCAGTAAACATTTTTAAGGTCTCTGAGAGTTAACAACAGGAACATCATGTGCAAAATTGACAGCTGTCCAGGGCCAGGCTATCAGGACTGGCTCTCCTTGCCAGCTTGGCCTGGCCCTCCCAGAGCAGGAGGTGCAGGGTATGGCTGAGCCCCAGAGGATGAGGCACAGAGCCTTCCGCCCTGGATCAGGGCATGTCCTGCGGCAGCTCTGTGCTCTTTCACAGTAGAGGACCTGGCCGCCCAGGGCCACCTGTGCCTGCAGCCGCTCCCCAGCTCCTAGCCAGCAGGAAGGGCTAATACTCAGGTCAACTCCTGGGGAGGCCTGGGATGGTAGGGATGGGTGCTCCACTGCCCATCACACTGAATCCTGGTCCATGCTGCAGCCCAACGCCTCGATGTCACTACTGATGTCTGAGATCATGCGGTCCCATTCATCCCCCTCTGAGGGTGCTGACCGGTCATCGGGACTGCCTGTGGCCCTGTTCCCATTGGTGGTAGAGGTGGATGTGGTGCTCAGGGCCCGCCGGTGCCTGCCAAAGCTGTCAGTGATGATGCCACGGCCGTCTTTCACACCAATGGTCTCTAGGAAGTTCTCGAAGTGCTGGCTGTCCTTCTCTGGGATGAAGGGCCTCAGACCTGCCAACACATAACCCCAACACCATACCCACAGTAAGGCTCAGGGTCCAAACAGGAACACAGCTGCCCCTCGTCCATGGCCCGAGGACCCTGATACCACACAAAGCGTTCCCTGGATCCAGATGGTTTGGCTAAAATCCCACTTCTGAAAAGCACCCCAGCTGTAGAAACTTGCCATCTGTCACATCTGCCCTCCCTGGCCTTGAGGAACAGCACAGGCCAGGGGCCCACGACCTCCTCTCATTCTCTATGGGTCCTCAGAGCCCCCATTTCACAAGTAAGAAAATGAAACCCAGAGTAGTCAGTCTTCTGCTCTGCTGGCACTGGCAACAGAGGCCAAAACCATGATGTTAAAGCCAAAGGCCCAGCCCAAGGTGACTGCCCCAACTCAGCAGTCTGTCTTCCTAATCAAGAATCCCCTGAACTCCTCTGTTTTGAGCAGGCTGGGCCCATCCAGAGAGGACAAGAGTCCCACGCACACAGGGGTAAGGTGCTGCTGCACCAGCTTGTCATACAGACAGCTGCCACCCCCACCTTCCAGAGCTGGAGCTCCTAGAGCTCTAACTACTGTGCTGTGAAGGCCCTATAATTAAGGCTTCCCAAAGAAGGCAAGTGAGGTGGCAGAGGGGAGGCCTGGAGGATGGGAAATTGCCCTCCCAGTGGGCTCCAAGCAGCATGCCACCATGGCTCAGCTCCTAATCCATTTGAAAAGAGGTGCCTACCTAAGGGCAGCCTCTAAAGGAACATCCTGAGTTACACATGGGCCCATCTGAGCCCTGCTGGGGAACTGACCCAGGGAGGCCTCAGCAGGAAGCAGGAGCTCAGACTAGATTCCAGCGGGCCCAGTCTCCCATAAGCAGGGAGCCCTGGAGGGACAGCCAATGTCGGCCAGGCTGTTAGAAAGGGAAATAAATCTACCTCTTTAGTTTACTGGGAGCACAGGTCCAGGACTTAGTAGCCCTTAACAAGCAACCACTGACTGTGTTCAGAGTGTTGGCAGAGGGAAAACCACAGCTGAATCATTGATCCCTCAAGGTCTGCGCCTCAGGTATCCAAGGTAGGTCTGACTACCAAGCCTGCCAGTCACTCAAATCTAACATGCTGAACTCTTCAGAGTCTTGTAAAAGGGTGATCTTCACCTGGGATGGCATCTTCACCTCTTTACTTGGCAAACTCCCACATACCCATCAATTACTCAAGTGTCACCTCCTTGAAGAACAACCCTGACTCCTCTCTTGAACTGTAGAATTCTATTCAGTACTAGTCCCAGTCCCAGGGCAACCTCTCCTGCTTCCTGGCAGGGCCCACTCAGCTCAGCTCAGCTCAGGGTTCTCAGGAGATGGAGAGCTGTTGGTGGGCCCCCAGAAAGCTCTAGAAAGAGATCTTCCAACTAATTGTGGCAGATCCTGAGACCTCAGGGTGCTCTTCTGCCAACCGTCATTGTTAATGGAACCTGCACCTTTACTTCAAGGTATAGGTATACATTTCCAGAGGGAACCGGACGCCCTCTGGGGCTCCCCACTCACCAAGCAGCAGGAACTTGCGACTGTCTCCATAGAGCTGCCGTAGGCTAATACAAAACTCATGAATGGAGGCCCCATTGCGGTACTCATGCAGCAGCGCAGCAAATTGCTGGATCTCCTGCGACGACAGCTTAGTGCGCAGCTGTAGGAACAGAGAAGAACAGGTGTGAGAACAGATATGGGTGGGTAGGAGGGCATGGCAGCTGGGCCCTCACCCTGTCACAGCCATGGACTTGGGTGGATCACCTGCAGCAAACAGGGCTGGGAACCTGGGGGCCAGGCCCATGCTGAGGACCAGTCACGTCTAGGTTAACATCTTCACTCCCTGTCGGGTCAGAATGCCCACAGTGAATCCCTATCCCATCATCCCAGGCATGGTAGCCTCCAGAGGAAAAATGAGGTGCCCTGGCAGCTCCACTTTCCTGAACCTGAGTACCCTCAGTGGGGCAAGGAGGGAGGGCAGTGCCAGTTCTTCATAGAGCATCAATGAAACAAATCAACAGGGAAGGGCTGGGGTTGTGGCTCAGCAGTAGAGCGCTCACCTAGCACGTGCGAGGCCATGGGTTCGATCCTTAGCATCACATAAAAATAAATAAAATAAAGGTATTGGAAAATAAATATTTTTTTAAAAAATCAACAGGGTAGGAAAGGGAGCTGGCACCTGTCAAGGTCAGGGCTGATGCCCTCAGGGCACAAATGCATGCAATGAGGAAGTCTTGAGTTTTTAGTGACAAAACTATGAGAGATGTAGAGGGAAAGTATCTAGCCCCAAGCCCTGTAGGAGCCACTATTTCCTCTCAGGACTTGGTACCAGCATGGTCCAGTCCTTATGGCTCAGACCCACCAACACAGGGTCCCATACTGTCCCTGGGAAAAGGCAGCAATGTCAGCAAAAATGATGAGGCAAGTGTACACAAGTGCCCACTCACATGCCTATGCTCTACGAGGGAAGAAAGCCTGGCCCCTCTCAGGCACTCCCTTACAGGTATGGCCTACCGTCTGCATGTAGTCCTGTAGCAGCTCTGTGGCACTGGTACTCAACTCACTCTCACTGACAGTCTTGCCGTGGGGTGATGCCTGCATGCAGAAGGACAAGGGCGGCAGGCCACTAGCATCCACAGAGTCAGAGAAGCAGCTGCAAAGGAACATGGTGTGTGGGCAAGCAGCTTGCCATCCCTGCATACTACACATTTCAGGGACCCAGTCAGGATGAAATGTGCACCAGTCCCCATCCTTGAGCAGAAGTGTATGCAAATGATAGTAACAGGGATGATGGATGAAATGACAAGAAGAAAGTTGGCTAAGCATGGCCACGTGCACCAACCACCAGAGGTAGTCAGCTTGGCCTGGTCCTCAGGCTCCTCAGAGGTGTGGCTCTTGATGGCCTCTGAGCAAAGGGAGGGAATTCATGGGACCAGTAAATGGACAGCGTCGTGGAGGGAAGAGAGGCTAATAGGAAAACCCAGGGGACAGTCTCCTCAGGCAGTGCCCAGAGTTGAGGGGGCACAGAAGGAGAGGTATAGATGGGGGTGAGCATCAGGACAGCAGAACATGTGGACTGAGCTGCCACAGAAGCTGTAGGTGGTGGCAGGGAGAGGCTGAAAAGTACAAAAGAACAAGAGCACCCAATGTGCCTTTTAAAGGTCACTCTCTGGAGGTCACAGAGTTGGCAGGGCAGGAGAGACCAGTGGGAGGTAAGGACTCTAAAAGCAGACATGGGGGATGCAGTGTAGACAATGGGTCTGGAGTTTTGGGACCGGTGAGGCTGTGATGAGCTGGAGGTGGTGGGTGACTAGCTGGAGCCCAGATGATGTTGGGCAATGTCCGAAGCTTGTCTACTCCAGGGTTTGGGGCACGTGCACTCACAAGGTGCTGGCTTCTGCATCGTAGGTCTCCTTAATATCCACTTTTGTGGAAGAGTCATCTGTAGGAAGATAAAAAAAAAAAAAAATACAGGGCTGGGGATATAGCTCAGTTGATAGAATGCTTGCCGTGCATATACAAAGTCCTGGGTTTAATCCCTAGCACTACCAAAAAAAAAATAATAATAATTAAAAAAAAATAAACAAACAAAAACCCACAACTTTCAGGTCCAGCCTGCCCAGCTATGTTTTACAAGAGACAGTGGCTGCCCTGCCCTTTGGGGAACCCTAAAGTCCTTCATCACGTAACCACCATGCCCCAGAATGTGCTGTGTGCCAAGGGTAGGACTCCTAGACTTGAGTCCACAGCCCTCCATTCCATCAAATGCACATCCTGCTGCAGGTTGGGAGGGAATCTACAGAGGACTCAACTTACCCACAGCTAAGGTCATGACAGCTGTCTTTGGGGATGTCAACTATGTGTTAAATTAAATGAAAGAAATTATGCTATTTGTCCCAGGTCACATAGCAGAAGCCAAAGAGCTGGGTATTCCAACCCCTGCCTAGACAAAGCCGGGCCTCAGAATCCCTGAGACCCTCATCTCTGCAAATAGTCTGCATACAGCAATTGCCTGGATAATGCTCAACAAATGACAGCTTGTGACAAAGATTATATAGTTGGCTGTTCCAAATGTAAGGAAAGGAGCATTCCAATACTGAGCCAAGCAGCAAGTAAAAGTTTTATGAGCAGGCAAGTCTTTAAATGGGAGCACAAGAAGAGGGTGGCAGGAAAAGGGACTTTTTTGTGTGTGTGCGTACTGGGGATTGAACCAGGGGCACTCAACCACTGAGCTACATCTTCAGCCCTATTTTGTATTTTGTTTAGAGACAAGGTCTCACTGAGTTGCTTAGCGCCTTGCTTTTTGCTGAGGTTGGCTTTGAACTCATGATCCTCCTGCCTCAGCCTCCTAAACCACTGGGATTACAGGAATGTGCCAATACACCTGGCAAAAGGGGATATTTCTGGTCTCAGGTGAGGATGGAGGGCAGAATAATGGCCCCAAAGAATCCACACCCCCAATCCCAGGACTACAAATATTCCGTTCCACAGCAAAGGGGAGTTAAGGTTGCTTATCAGCTGACCTTAGGATAAGGAAATGACCCTGGATTATGTGAATGGGCTCAATGAGACCACAAGGGTTCCAAGCATAGCCAAAGAAAGGAACAGAGATGCCATCAAGATGGAGGAAAGGGTTATGTGCCAAGACACACAGAAGTCTCTAGGAGCTGGGAAGGGCAAGGAAATGGTCTTCTGGAGGTTTCAGAGTAACCAGCAGAGCCAACACCTTAACTTTAGCCCTGTGAAGCCTGTGATAGAATCTTAAGTCCCTTAAGAGGATGCATTTGTGCTGTTAAGCTGCTAAGCTTCGATGATCTGTCCTGGCAGGGGAGAATGAACATAGCACGCAAGGCGCTGAAGCAGAAATAAGCAGTGGATGCATGCACGTGTTTCTATGTGTGTGTGCGCATCCCAGAGGTAGGTTCCAAAAGGCTGGCAGGGGATAAAACCTACTCAGCCTGATAGTAGTGCTGTATGCACGCTTGCTTTGGGAAAACTCATTCAGATGTACACTTAGGGTCTGTGCACTTTTCAATTAAAAATTTATTAGGACTGGGTGTGGTGGAGCACACCTATAATCCCAGATACTCAGGAAGCTGAGGCTGGACAATCGTAAATTTGAGGATAGTTTTGACAACTTAGTGAGACCCTGTCTCAAAAAAATAAAAAGGGATGGGGACATAGCTCAATGCTATAGTGCCCCTGGGTTCAATCCCCAGTACCACAAAAATGAATGAATGAATGTATAAGTTAATGAATAAATAAAGCAAGCAAGTCCCTATTGGGAATTTTAATGCACAGGTCTGAACCAATCACAATCATACTGAACTGTTCCTCATGCAGTTACTTTGAACAAGCTGTTGACTTCCAAGCCTCAATTCCCCATCTCTAGGACAGGGCTAAATGATGTTCCTACCTCACTTGGCTTTGGAGGACTAAATAAGATGCAGCATGTGCCTCAGTGTTCATCACTACAAGCAGCAGTGAGGCCCACATTGGGAAAAAGGGGCTTTAGCACCAGCAATAAGAAAGAGACCACACCATTATGTATATATACCACATTTTCTTTATCCATTCTTCTGTTGAAGGGCACCCAGGGGGTGCCATAGAAGAATAGAAGTTCAGTGGATTAGACAAAGGGGAATGAAGGAAAGGGTGGGGGGATAGGAATAGGAAAGACAATGGAATTAATCTAACATGAACTGCTTATGTACATATATGAATAAAAGCACAATGAATCTCCACATTATGTACATCCACAAGACTGGGATCCTAATTAGAGTAAGACATACTTCATGTTTGTATAAATATTTCAAAATATACTCTGTCATGTATTTAAAAAAATTCTAATTCAACAGCAGATGTGAAGTGATTGCAGTCCAAGTTCTTCTCACAGCTCCTCCCCTCATTAATGTACTCCTCTGCCCATTATATTCAAGACACATTTACTTTGAACTGCATCCATTGAACAACTGACTTGAAACAAACAAAAAAGAAATAGACCATACCATGATAGACCCTTAAAATGAGGTATACACCTGTTCAAAGAATTCCCTCCCAGCTTTGTGAACACATAGGGCTCTCCCCACTTGTGAATTACTAGGGATAGGATAGGGGGCTGAGACTCATCATCATAAAAAGAAAAAAACTGCAGGCAACAAACAGCACTGTTTCCAGAATCTTTGCTTTTTATGCCTCTGATTTATATAAACCATTAATCTTTTATAAATGATAAATCTGAAAATTAATGCTGTTGGTGTTCAGGAGACTTAGCTCTAGTGAGCTTGTACATAAAGGAAGTATCTAGTATGGACTAACAAGAAGCCTGAACGTGCTCTGCAACCGGTCTTGGTGGAATGTGCAGAGATGCTGACTCCCATATGTTGGTCCAGCGACGAAGCCTTTTAGGTACCTTTGGTTCTTCCCACCAACAACAACCCATCTCCAAGCCTTGGCTTCAGGAGAAGCCTGAGCTTCACCTGAACACATTTGGCATGGTCCCGGAATGAGCCATCATACTGAGAGCTGCCTACGCTTGGTCATACTAAAAGGGTTATTCCCCAGACCCATGCTCAGCCCCAAGACCCATGCTCAGCCCCCAGATCCACAGCATGCCTCTACTGGAAGCCTGTGGTTCCAGAAATGTTCATGGCCCCCATATTCTCTGCCTGCTTTTACTCAACGTACCGCTGTGCAGGGATAAGTGGTGGGTGGGTGTAGAGGCCCCATCAAATATTGCTCGGTCCAGAAAGTCGATGGTGGACTCCGTGTAAACAATCTGGAAGACCTGACCAAGCAGGGAGCATAGCTCTTCAGCGGCAACCTGCAGTGGGAACAGAGCAGCAGCTGATGTAGCCAGTGCCCAAGAAGCTTCCAGGGTACCTGGAGGCCTCAGACACTTCATAAATATGAACCAAAAGCAGACACCAGAATAACTAAGGGCCCCTACACCTTTCACAGCCCACAAGGTGCCAAAGCAGAGAAGCTGAGAACCACCTCAGGATTCTTTCTGAACAGACTGTGGCCCAGGTGTGCCTTGAAGGTATCTGGGGACTGTGCTGAGAAATACTATCTAGAAGATATTTAAGGTAGGCAGTAGCTATTATCTATTTTACAGATGCAGAAATTAAACAGAAAGGTCTCCCCAAGGCCCTGTGGCTGTTGGGTGGCTATGAGCCCAAAGCCAAACCCACAACCACAAACAGATTTCTGTGGAATCTGCAAGCACAGTCCTTAGCACCAGGCAGGTTTGGGGTGCAGGTCACTGCATGCCCATCAATAAGGGATGCGGGGGTAGTGGACTAGTAGAGGAAGCAGGAGAATCTTTGAATAAAAACCTAGCTGTCCATGTCAGAGAAGGACTGGAGGAGGGGTAAAAAGGCCAGGTCAGGTAATGGCAAGAGGGTAAGGCCAGACTAGGCAGAAGTGGGTGGGGATGGGGGTGGTCAGCGTAGGGTACAGGAGTCTGGGGTCTGGGTTGTGGGCAGGGACTTAAGAAACTGAACATGAGACATGTTCAGGGTAGGCAGAAGGGTTAGGGTTGGGTGGGGTCAGGCAGGGGAAGAGGAGGGGCTGAGCCCTAGGTAGAGTTGTGGGTAAAACCTGGTCATTAAGTAGGGCTGGGCTGTGGGTAGGGCCATGGAATGACTAGTCATGGGTTGGATCAGGCTATGGAAGAGCCGGAGGTAGAAGAGGCCATTGGCAGGGCCTAGTTATAAGTTGGGCTGAGGGAAAGGCCTGGGCTATGAACAGGATAGAGATCTCACCTTGCTCTCTGCAGCCAGGATGACCAGGCAGCATGCTTCCACTGGCCCCACTGCACTCTCCGACAGGGAGCCTGAACTGAGGCCTCTGGAACTTTCCGCACACAGACTCTGGCTTGGGGAGATACCCGGATCCTGGGCTAATAAATGAACACCCTATCAGGTTAGCTCAGTGGAAAGAGGGCAGGCCTGAGAGCAGTCAGGGCACGAGTTGGGCTACTCTTAAAATATGGTTCAGGAGCTCTTTACTTGGCTCAGGTGTCCACCAAATGACCTGGGTGACTGGCCTATGCCATGTGTACTCTCTGGGAAAGTTCCCTCTTCTAGCCTCCTCCTAACAAGTATGGGAACAGATGAGCCCTGAGCTCCAGGGTACCAGAGCACACAGCTCCCCCACCCTCGCCATCTTCATACTTCACTGCATGTCATCACTGAGAATGGACACTCCACATGCATATCACCCCACATGACCTCCTAGCATCCTTGCTAAAGATGGAGGAGACATGTGATATCCCATATTCAATGCTTTTGATCCACACAAAAGATGATAATTTCACAAGGTTCAAGTTATCATATGATAGATTCTGAACACAATCCTGAAAGAAGTTTACCTCCAGAAAAGTTTATGGCCCAATAAACTCTCTTTATACAGAAGGGTAAACTAAAGCACAAGGGCAAAGGGCTGGGACTGAAAGTATGTAAATAGCAGAGTCCAGGTGCCAGTCTAGAAAGTCACATCTCAGTGTCATGTTTTTAATACTACCCACCACCTCCCCCAACATCTTGTGTGATTTCCAGGACCACCCAGGAGCCAGGCTCTGACAGCAGGAACATCCAACAGACCAAATTGGAATGACTGAAAACAAATCCTATACATCCCCTGTTGCCTAAGTATTAGAAGGCAAGCTCACCTTAGGAAGGAGGGAAGATAAAAATGGGAAAACCTAAGGCTCAAACACAGTCTGGTAGAGAAAGATGGGGAGAGGCCCAGGTCACATGCAGGAGAAGTATATGCAGACAAAGGCTATAAGGGGTTGCTCCATAAATCCCTCAGTGAGACCAAAGGCCTGCACTGTCCCCAGAGCAGTCACCACAGAACTACTGAGTATGTGGACCATGATGAGTCCATGCCAAGATGTAATAAGTGTAAAACATACACACAGGGCTCCAGAGTTGAAACAAACAGTATACTAACTAGCTCAATAATTTTTATATTGATTATATGCTGTTATGATAATACTTTGTATACAGAGAACTAAATAAAATATACTATTAAAACTAATTTCACTTGTATCCTTCTTTGCAGTATTGGGGATTGGACCCAGGGGTGTTCTACCACTGAGCTACATCCCCAGCCTTTTTATTTTTTGAGGCAGGGTCTTGATAAATTGCTGAGATTGGCCTTGAACTTGTGATCTTCCTGCCTTAACTCCAAGAGGTTAGAATTACAGGCATGTGCCACAGCACATGCTGTCTCTCTCTTTTTTTTGTACCAGGAATTGAACCCATGGGTGCTTAACCACTGAGCCACATCTCCAGCCTTTCTCATTTTTTATTTTGAGACAGGGTCTTGTTAAACTGCTTAGGATGTCACTAAGTTACTGAGGTTGGCTTTGAACAATCCTTCTGCCTTAGCCTTCTGAACCACTAGGATTAGGGGTGTGCACCATCATTCCCAGCTTTCTTTACTTTTTTAATATTTTTAATTGGCTGCCTGGCTGTGCCTGGGATGGTTCTTGAGCAGGGTAGGCAGCTGGGAAGTTCAGATAGCATTCATGTGCTATCTCTAAGGACTCCACATCTACCCTCCTGTTAATGGATGCAGCCTGTAAGCCCTACTTCAAAACTACAATTTGCCTCTTTCCTGCATCACACACAAACTGCTTAAGCAGATACACAGATGACCCTGTATTTATCTAGCCTTAGCTAAAGTCACCCTCTGAGCAGATGTGGCTCCCTAGTTCCCTCATACTATACTGTCCCAAATACCAGTGACCCTTGGCCTGAAAGATGCATACAGCTAAACCACACACAGTAGACACACAGAGCAGACTTTAGATACCAGTCTGCCAGGCTCTGTATGGGGCACTTTGCATCCCAATTCTGATGAATGGAAACTATCCTGCTGAGAACAGTCCCTGGGACACAGGGATTTATTCCCTTCCTGTGAATCATAAGTTCTCTCAAAGATGAGTCCTGCTGCTTATGTTTTTATAAAAAAGTTTCTCCAATGGAATGTGTTTTCTCTCTCAAAAAAATCTATTATTTGCTGGGTGTGGTGGCACATGTCTATAATCCCAGTAGCACAGGAGGCTGAGACAGGAGTTTTGTGGGTTCAAAGCCAGCCTTAACAACAGCAAGGCGCTAAGCAACTCAGTGAGACCCTGTCTCTAAATAAAACAAAATAGGACTGAGGATGTGGCTCAGTAGTTGAGTGTCTCTGTGTTCAATCCCCAGTACAAAACTATTATCTACCTTCTTTTCTTTTTTTTTTAAAGTGATGAAAGTTATTTTCTATTATTTCTTTGTTTTTTGTTGTTGTTTCAAAAATTTTCCATTATCCAAATTGTTTTAATGATTAAAGCTAAGAAATTATCTTGCCGCATAAGGAACAGAAATGGGAGGACCTTCCCTCCCCACCTGCAAGGACCGGTTCAGGAGCTGGTCTCCTCACTCCCTGTCCCCTAAAGGATACCTCCTGTAGATACAAGGCAGAGGAAACAGAGGGTTACCATGGTGCTGGACAGAGTGCTTAGAAGCAGCCACAGAACCTTCTAAGGCCAGAAGGAACAAGTTTAACCCTTCTTAACCAAATGTCCCATCTTCACCAAGCATGATCTTCATGACAGTACTTAAACTCCCTTCTGTCCATCTATAAGATGGGAATCAATGAAATCTTCCTTAAAGATTTATTATAGGGGCTGGGGTTGTGGCTCAAGTGGTAGCGCACTTGCCTGGCATGCATGAGGCACTGGGTTCGATCCCTAGCACCACATAAAAATAAAATAAAGATTTCGTGTCCACCTAAAACTAAAAAATTTTTTAAAAAAGATTTATTATAGAGGGCTGGGGTTGTGGTTCAGTGGTAGAGTGCTTGCCTAGCATATGTGAGACATTGGGTTAGATCCCAGCACCACATAAAAATAAATAAATAAAATAAAGGTATTGTGTCCATCTATAACTAGAAAAAAAAAGATTTATTATAGAGGTTAAATGAGATAATCATATCAAATGCTTTGTACTAATATGAGTCACATTAAATTGCCACTTTTATTGATTAAAATGTTTAAATACGGACAGTTTCATATTATTCAACTTAGTTCAATGCCTGGCATTAATAGTCAATACTCATTCATCACTGTGAAGGAAAATAAGCACCATGCCTTGAATATTAAATATTCTCCAAAGGCTGATGTATGGAAGGCGTGGTCCCCAGGCGGGCACTGTTGGGAGGTGGCAGAAGCTTTAGGAGACAGGATGATCTTATGTCATTGAGGTGTGCCCTCAAACAGCATTATGGAACCCCAGTCCTTTTTTCTTCCTTTGTTTTGCTTCCTGGACATGAGATAAACAGTTTGGTCTACTACACATTCCCTGCTATTACCACCCTGGCATTACAGGCCTACAAGCAATGGGTCAACTAATCATGGACCGGAACCTCTAAAACCATAAGTGATGGGGCTGGGGTTGTGGCTCAGTGGTAGAGTGCTTGCCTCACATGTGTGAGGCACTGGGTTCAATTCTCAGCACCACATATAAATAAATGAATAAAATAAAGGTCCTTCAACACTAAAAAATATTTAAAAAAATAAAAAATAAAACCATAAGTGAAAATAAACCTTTTCCCTTGGGTAAGTTAATGATCTCAGGCATTTTTTTATAGCAATGAAAAATTGACTAACACATTCACAGAAAAGCAAATAGGAAGGGACCTTGCTAAGACATGCTTGGTAATAGTGCAGAAGGCATATGCATGTGTGTGTGTCTAAGTGTACGAGTATATGTATGTGTCTGTGTGACAAAGGCAGCTGTGTGCATGTGAGTGAATGTATGTGTGTGTTTGTGTGTTTTGTGTACAAGTCCACATATGTAATGTGTGTCATTTCATGTCCATGTGATATGTTAAGTATGCTGGGGAGGGCATGAGCTACTGCTACACAGACAAGGTAGAACAGCTGTGACTCCCAGCAATCACCTTCCTAACCTTTCCATTACTTGAGTAGGTTTGTGACCAAAAGAATGCAGATCAGATTCCTAAGCCAGAACTTCCTGTGGCCTGTTTTTGAGAGCTTACCCAAACATGTAACTTCACAATTCTGAGACAACAAGACTGCTTCCTAGATTCCTAGGTACTGCTGACCTCAAGTGGACTGAGATTTCCCTCTTTACTACCTAAATAGTGTTTGTTCCAGGCAGAACCACTCCAGTCCCTCATGCCTTGCCACTACTCCTCTGGAAATGAAGGACTTCAGGGTAACCAAGATGCCTACAGTGGCCCAATGAGATCAAACCAGTGTTTTTGTGGCAATGCCAGCCTCAGAGGTCACAATAAATATGGAGGATGAACCAAAATTTCTCCCTCATTTCTTAATGACTTGAATGCCAGAATGGAGACCTCCAGAAGCTGACAGGTAGCTCCTACCCCAGCATCCAGGAGGGCAGGCACTGCGTAGAGCAATAGGGTAAAAGAGTGAGCAGAAAATGACATTCTTCACAATTCCACCTGCATGTAAAAGCAGTGACAAGAGCCCCTGGACAGAGTCTCCTTTTTGTTGTCCCAGCTTTGGGAACATTGTGGGGAGCTCAAAATGTGGGCTGGAGCTTGTATGGTACTGCATGTCTGTAATCCCAGCAACTTGGGAGGCTGAAGCAGGAGGATCACAAGTTTGAGACAGTCTCAGCAACTCAGCAAGACACTGTCTCAAAATGCAAAATAAAACGTTGGGGATATTACTCAAATTACTCCTGGGTTCAATCCCCAGCACAAACAAAAACAAAAAACATATATATATATATACGGAAGTTGGGCTGAGGGGAGATTCCCACCATAGCCTTCATTTCTGCCCTTCTCTCCCACCTGGCCAGTGGAAGCAACACCAGTATAGGGGAGGCTGAGCCCCACCAGGAAGAGGGACAGGACACTGCTTCTTTGGATACTGGTCCCCAAGGCTCTGATTTGACAGGGACTCCAGGGTCACAGCAGCTGACTGCTAGCCCTCCTCTGGCTGACCTCTGGGATAGGAGGTCCAATTCTTAGCCACAACAGATAAGAGTGCCCAACACAGAGCTGCAGAAGCTGTCTCTAGAGTTTCATGAAAGTCAAGAACACTCCTCAGGACAAGGATCCTTCTGACCCCTAGTCATCCAGGTCCATACCTGTCTTTAAGACCACCAGGTGTGCGGCATCATCTCGGACATAGGAGACAGCAGCAATGTCGTGGATGGGCACCCTGAGGATGATGTCCTCCCCATCCCTCCAGGCCAGCTTGACATTGTAGGCAGACAGGCTGAGCACAGCATCGTGTTCCTGGGTCAGGTGTCCAGGAAGCAGGTGGGCTCGCTGGAAAGAACCACAGGGCATCAGAAATGCCAGGTGTGCCGAGGCCTGTCCTGGGCTCTTCTCCAGGAGCACTATACTGGCTGATATCACACATGTGACCAGTGTGCCTTTAGATTCAAAATTATGGTATATAATTGAGATATTTTGAAATTACAAATTTTGGAAAATAGCCCAAAACCACATAAAGCAAATCTGGAGAATGAAGTTAATGTTCAGACTGAGGAACAGTCTTTATGGCCAAGAGCCAAGTGCACCCATAACGTAATGGAACTGGGTCATCCCTCTTGGCCATGATATCAAAAGTGAATGGATTAAGGGCTGGTGTTGGCCAAGCGACAGAGCACACAGATGAGAGGATGGGGTTACCTTTGCATTGTCTATGAAATGCAGGATTTCAGTCCTACTGGAGGGATTCAGGTATCCTGGTATAGATGTTAACTGACCTAAATACTGAAAGAAAGTGAAGAAAAACAGTCATGAGAAATGGGAATTGGGAAATGAGCCAACACCACCATAGCAAGATCAACTGAGCACAGTTCTAGTGTCTCATACTCAGGCCACCAGTTCTAAGAGGTGAGTACTGAATTCTCACACAAGTTTCCTAGAGCTCAGGACAACCCTCCCACATTTCCTATATTCAAGATCATCATCAAAAGTCCTACAAAAGGCATTTTAAAACTAGGTTTCGTAGCTAACCAGTGATGGCAGGTGTTTCCTTGCACTTCTGGAAGAACTGAAAACAAGGGCACCATGCAATAGCCCCCACTAAAAATAAACCCTAAGTTACAAAGGTCAACACAGCTGAGAAAAATGAACACAAATAGAGAAATGAAGTGCCATGGTTTAAATGTGTCCCTCAAAGTTCATGTGTTGGAAACGTAACTCCCTGATGCAACCATGTTGAGGTGCAACTTTTAGGAGGTGATTCGGTCATAAAGGCTCTACCCTCAGGAATGGGTTAATAATGCTGTTATGGCAGGAAGAGGTTCATCCTTAGGAGTAGGGTCCTTATAAGTTCAACTCCCTTTTTGCTCTCTCACTTTCTTCTCCTTCCACCTTCTGCCATGGGATGACACAAGAAGGTTCTCACTAGATGCCAGCCCCTTTATCTTGGATTTCTCAGTTTCTAGAACCATGCAAAATACATTCTATTATTTATAAAATTATCCAGTCTGTGGCATTCTTTTTTATCTTTATTTTTTGCAGTGCTATGAATCAAACTAGGACCTTGTACATGCTAAGCAAGTGCTCTACTGCTGAGCTACATCCCCAGTCCCCAGTCTGTGGCATTCTATTAAAGCAACACAAAACAGATAAAGATATGATGTAAATAAGTTATTTTGTAACATGTGGCAATGAGGCACTTGGCTCAGCAAAGTACCATGATGAAGAACATCGGAGCATGGAGGCTCTGAATGGCAGCTCTGAGTCTGCTGTGTTCGTGTCTGGGTCTTATGAACTAACACAATATTTTTAATGGTTTGTTTTTTTAAATGGATCACTGATTTCTTCCCAAGAAGAGACAACTTCTTCTTTTCGCTATTATAATTTTTATGTATTTTTTATTTGTTCTTTTTAGATATACATAATAGTAGAATGTATTTTGACATATTATATATACATAGAGTATAACTTAATTCTAATTAGGATAAGAACAGACTTCTTGTACTCAACATTTGTCTTGATTCATCAACTCATAATTTTGGTTTTATATTTAAAAAGGATTAAGTGGGACTTCCAGTTTCTGGTCTAGCATTTAAGAGCTTGGAAGCTGGCACTTCCATACTTACAACAAGAACGCTGACTGAAAATCAACAACTGTTCTTAGATTTATCAAATAACTAAGGTCCCAGGGAAAACCACTACCCCCTAAACTGGAGAGACAGACTGATGGATGATGAGAATCACAGCTTACCAGGAGGAGAAACCCTGGAGCTTGCACTGGTAGAAGCAGAAGGGGGTGATGACAAGTACTGAAGACTAAGCATGGACCAGCTTGGGGGCTCAATCACAAGGGACTCTACCATTGAGCTACATCTCCATCCCTTTCTAAATTTTTGTTTTGTGAAGAGGGTCTCTAAGTTGCCCAAGCTGGCCTCAAACTTGAAACCCTCCTGCCTCATTCACCCGAATAGCTGGAATTATAAGTGTGTGCCACCATAACAGTCAAAGAAACAATTTTAAAATACAACCAGAGAATTCTATTATCCCTTACTGTGTCTAAAAACAGAGTATCTGGGGCTGGGGATGTGGCTCAAGCGGTAGCGTGCTCACCTGGCATGCGCAGGGCACTGGGTTCGATCCTCAGCAACACATAAAAATAGAGATGTTGTGTCCACCGAAAACTAACAAATAAATATTTTAAAAATTCTCTCTCTCTCTCTCTCAAATAAACAAATAAATAAATAAAAACAGAGTATCAAAATATGAGGCAAAAGAGGCTGGGGCTGGGGCTCAGCAGTAGTGCACTTGCCTTGCATGTGTGAAGTATTGACTTCGATTCTCAGCACCTCAGACAAATAAATAAATAAATAAAGGTCTATCAACAACTAAAAAATATTTTAAAAACAAACCTTAAAAAAAATGAGGCAAAAACAGATGGATCAGTAGGGCACAGTGGTGCACACCTGTAATTCCAGTGACTCAGGGATCATAAGTTTGAGACCAGCCTCACCAACTAAGTGAATACCTAAGCAACTTAACAACATCCTGCCTCAAAATAAATGATTCAAAGGGCTGGGGATTTAGCTCAGTGATAAATTGCTCCAGTAATCCTAGCTATGTAGAAGACTGAGGCAGGAGGATCACAAGTTTGAGAACAGCCTGGGAAACAGTGAGATGGTGTCTCAAAATTAAAAATAATAATAATAATAATAATGGTTGAGAGTGTAGTTCAATCCCCAGTGCAGCAAAAAAGAGGAGGAGGAGAAGAAAGGGAGGGAGGAGGAATAAGGGAAGGAGGGGGAGGAAAGCAGGGGTGATAAGGGAGAAGGGGAGAGGAAGGGGAGGAGAAGGGGAGAGGAAGGGGAGAAGGAGGAGGACAAGGAAAGAAGGAAGGAAGGATGGACAGATGGACATAGCGGAACTCAATAGCACCAAAATACTTTTTGTTTTTTAGTACTGGGTTGCTCACATGCAACATTCACCAACATAGACCACTTCCATAAACACACCTTATATTTAATTTTATTTTTTTAAACCTTCAGTGTATCCTTATTTTTTATTTTTTGGTTTTTTTTCTAGTTATAGTTGGACACAACACTTTTATTTTTATTTATTTATTTATATGTGGTGCTGAGGATTGAACCCAAGGCCTCCCATGTGCTAGGCAAGCACTCTACTGCTAAGCTACAATCCCAGCCCCATACTTACATTAAAAAAAATAGAAACCATATGATGTCTGCTCTCAGCCCACAGGGGAACACCTTGAAAGGTGTTCTATCAAAATTCCCAGAAGGGGAAATAGGCAATGTGAATGGTCCTATGATCTATTAAAGAAACCAAATCAGCTATGAATAGCCTTCCAAAAAAAGAAAGCACAAGGCACAGATGGGCTCACTGGTAAATTCTACCAAACATTTAAGGAAAAAAAATTACACCAATTCTCTACAATCTTCTCCAGAAAATAGGAACAGGGAAAACACTTCAGAACCTATTCTATGAGGCCAGCATTACCATTTTATTAAAAAAAAAAAAAAAAAAAAAAACCCAAGACAAAGACATTAAAAAAAAGAAAAAAAACATATAGACCAACATTTCTCATCAATATCCATGTAAAAGTTCTAAACAAAATATCAGAAAATTGAGCTGAACCACAGATAAAAAGAATTATGTACCATGACCAAGTGGGATTTATCCCACATGGTTCAACATTTGAAACTCAATTAATGTAATCCATCTCATCAACAGGCTAAAGAAAGAATCATATCAACAGGTAGAGCAAAAGCTTCTGACAAAATCTAAACCCTACTCATGTCAAAAACACATGACATGGTGGTGCGTACCTGTAATCAGAGATACTTGGGAGGCTGGCAAATTGGAGACCAGCCTATGCAAACTCAGTGACAATCTGTCTCAAAATAAAAAGGGCTGGGGATGTAGCTCAGTGGTGATTACTTACCTAGCATGAGTGAGGCTCACAATTCAATCAACAGTAATTCGAAAAAAAAAAAAAAATACAACTCACATCATACTTAAGTGTAAGAAACTAGATACTTTTCCCCTAAGATGAGAACAAGGCAAGGATGTCCTCTTTCTTTCTTTCTTTTTTTTTTTTTTTTTTGAGAGAATTTTTTTTAATATTTATTTTTTAGTTTTCGGCAGACACAACATCTTTGTTTGTACGTGGTGCTGAGGATCGAACCCGGGCCGCACGCATGCCAGGCGAGCGCGCTACCGCTTGAGCCACATCCCCAGCCCAAGGATGTCCTCTTTCATCATTCTTCTTTTTTCCCATATTTTTAAAAAGTATTTATTTTTTTTTAATTGTAGGTGAACACAATACCTTTATTTTATTTTTATGTGGTGATGAGGATAGAACCTAGGACCTCATGCATGCGAGGCAAATGCCCTACCACTGAGCTACAACCCCATCCCCTCCATATTTTTTATTGGCACATTATAATTATACATAACGGTGGGATTCATTGTTACATTTGTTCATACACACTCTCATCACTATTATTTAACTTCTGGCTAGATGTCCTAGCTAATGCAATGCAACAAGAATAAGAAAGGATACACAGGTTGGGAAGGAAAAAATAAAATTGTCTTTGTTCACAGATGACCTCTGAACCAGAGAACCATGCAGGGAGGTTGCTCTGGAAATCCAAAGAGAGAAAATATGACACAAAACCAATCATCTAATGCTGCACAATGCAGTCTGCTCACTAGACAGAAAATGAAACAGAGAAAAGAATAACTGGCTAAAGCACATTCAGGGCACTCCAAAAATACAAGTTTGGACCTAGAGTGCTCGCCTCACATATGCAAGACCCTGAGTTCAATCCTCAGCACCACATAAAAATAAATAAAGATATTGTGTCCAACTACAACTAAAAAATAAATATTAAAAAAAAGAACTGCTGTAAGTCAACAACAACAACAAAAACAAACAAACAAACAAACCTAATTCTAAAAAGGGGAAACAACTTGAATAGACATTTTTTCTAAAAAAGATATACACATGACTAATAAGCACATGAAAGGTCTTCAATATCACTAATTATTAGGGAAATGAAAATCAAAATTGCAATGAGATACTAACTCACAGCCACGAAGATGGCTATTATTAAAATATAAAAATTGGAGGGATAACACCTTTTAGTGAAATTATGGAGAAACTGGAACCTTTATACACTGCTGGTGGCAATGTAAAATGGAGCAGCTGCTGTAGAAAACAATATTGTGGTTCCGCAAGAAATTAAACCAAGAATTAGCATATGATCCAA